AGACCCACAAAGCCACAGTTTCCCTGCTGTGAAGTGGGGATCATAGCTGTATCGTTCTCAGGGCCAGTGTATATATAATTCTTAGGAGGCGCCTGGCCCATAGAACATACTCAGTAAAGGAACCAAGGTTAATAATTAGGTTATCTCGGGGCGCCTGGGTGGCTCAGTTAATTGAGCATCCAGCGTCGGCTCAGGTCATGATCTCGCGGTCCATGAGTTCGAGCCCTGCGTTGACAGCTCAGAGCCTGGAGCCTGCTTTGGATTCTGTGACTTCTCTTCTCTCTACCTCTCCCCTGCTCTCTTGCTCTCTCGCTCTCTAACATAAACATCAAACATTTTTTTTTTTTTAGGAAATAAAAAATAATTAGGTTATCTTTCCATCCATCTATCATCTGTCTGTCTAATAATATATGGAATCTCCACTGATTAAAGAAATGAACATGTACTTTATCTTTCTCAGGACCCTTCCAGCATTTATTTATCCATTCTCCTTTTGGTGGACATGTCAGTTATTCCCAGAATTACTTCTGTAAACAGTGCTGAGTTGAATATAAATCTCTTCATATAAATGCTTGATCACTTAGAGAAATTATTAGAAGCTGGAATAAAAGATAGGAGAATACATAAAAAACTCTAAAGGTCTATGGGGCGCCTGGGTGGCTTAGTCGGTTAAGCGTCCGACTTTCGCTTAGGTCATGATCTCGCAGTTCGTGGGTTCGAGCCCCGCGTCGGGCTCTGTACTGACTGCCAGCTCAGAGCCTGAAGCCTATTTCAGAGTCTGTATCTCCCTCTCTCTCTGACCCTTCCCTGCTCATGCTGTCTCTCTCTCTCTCCCCTAGAAATAAATAAAAATATTAAAAATAAATAAATAAATAAATAAAGGCCTAGAGCTCTTAGGCCAGGGACATAAAGCACAAGTACAATACAGGTGGGTAAAATGTATCAACCAAGGGTGTTGATTGCTCCTTTTCCACATCAGTGAAAAATCTGGAAACCACCACCCCAAATATCTAATATTAATGGATTAAATAAAATATAAACATTCATACAGTAGAATAGCATGTAGCTATTAAGAATTGTCGAAGAACAGAAAAGACCCAGCAGAGTTCAAACTAAACATGAGTGTGCTCCTCTCACTGGGTAGAGGGCCACGTGGTGAGTTTCACCAGGCCACTGCCCGAGGAGGAAAGTGGGAGCGTTTCAGCTATCAGGAAGGGGCAGCGCCAAGGTGGTTTAGCCACTTAAGGCCTGGAATCTTGGATAAAATAGAACTTGTGTGTCTCTGAGTCTGTGCACAGCTGGTCACAGCCGCCTAGTCCCCAGGGCAGAACCGCCTCTAATAAGGACACGTCAGTCAATGCCCATAACCCCAAGGCAGGGAAGTGTCCCTTTCGCTCCTCCTGTCATGACTGACAGGAAGCCTTTGACCTATATCGTTAGGTGCTAACAGGAGGCTATAAAATACTCTATATTCAGTTAAGCCTTGCATAATACGGGTTTGAACGGCATGGATCCACTTATACTTGGATTTGTTTCAATAAACGTATTGGAAAGGTATTTTGGAGACTTGATTTGAAAAAACAGATGAACCACATAGCCTAGAAATACTGAAAAAATTATTATTGTAAGAATACAGTATATATGTAACATCCAAAATATGTGTTAATCACCTAGTTATGTTATTGGTAAGGCTTCCGCTCAACAAGAAGTAGGCTGTTGGTGAGTAGTTAGTTTTTGAGAAGTCAGAAGTTACTTGCACATTTTCGAATGCATAGTGAGTTGGTGCCCATAAACCCTATGTTCTTGGGTCACACGTACTGTTTTTCCAGTCTGCTATTTAAAAAGGAAATAGGGAAAAAAATTAAAAAGAAATAGGAATATTCATGTTTAAAGGAAAATATCTTGAAGAATAGTCACCAGTTTTTGTTTTGTTTTAAAAAATTTTTTTTTAAATGTTTATTTTGAGACAGACCATGAGCAGGGGAAGGGCAGAAAGGGAGCGGGAGACACAGAATCCGAAGCAGACTGCAGGCTCTAAGCTGTCAGCACAGAGCCTGACAGGGGGCTCGAACTCGTGAGCTATGAACCTGAGCTGAAGTCGGTCACTTAAGCAACTGAACCACCCAGGCGCCAGTTTATTTATGTGAATTTTGTTTTCCGAAGTTTTACACATACCATGATCTACCTTTTTTTTTTTTTTTTTTTAAAATAAGTAATTTCTATACCCAGTGTGGGGCTCAATCTTACAACCCCAGGATCAAGAGTCACTTGTCCTACCAACTAAGCCAGCCAGGCGCTCCTACCTTTCTTCTTTTGTTTAAAGTTTTTATTGTGGGAAATTGAATACATTTATAAAATTAAAGAAGACATTCCCTTGGTACCATGCACACAGCCCCAATCCGGGGCACAATAGCTGATCTGGTTATCTAGCACCCCTTCTCCCAATTCATTTTGGAGACATTGTATCATATCATCTGTAAAAATTTAATGTTTGGTTATAAAAAATAATTTATAGGGGCACCTGGGTGGCTCAGTTGGTTAAGCATCTGGCTCTTGATCTTGACTCAGGTCATAATCTCAGGGTCATGGAATTGAGCCCTGAGTTGCAAAAGGATAATTTACCAGAATTGTACTTAAGCAGAGGTTATTTCTGGGTGCATGGGATTCCAGGTGACAGCTTTCTTTTCTGCTTGATGTACGCTTTTCACAGTGTATATGTTAAGGACAAAATGTGTGTATGAGAGAGAGAGAGAGAGAGTGTGTGTGTGTGTGTGTGTGTGTGTGTTCATTTTGAAGTACATGTAGATTCATAGGAAGTTGCAGAGAGTGCAGAGCAGGCCTGTGTGTCCTTCATGCAGTGTCCCCACTGACTGTGACCTAAGGCAGCAGGGAATAGCACCCAAACCAGGAGACTGGCATCCCGAAACCTGCAGCTGCGCATTCGCTCGCCGCTTCAGAGCTGTTAGATAAAGGGGCTCACACCCTTCTGAGGCTGGCGGAAGTTCCTTGCGGAGGACCCGGGCTCTGCCTGTTGCACGGAGATCGTGTGTTCCCTTTGTGCTGCGTGGCTGCGCTGCTCACTGTGCTTTCCCTCTGCCCCAGCTGAAGCAGTTTGAGCGACTGGAGCAGGAGGTGTCACGGCCCATAGACCATGACCTGGCCAACTGGACAGCAGCCCAGCCCCTGGCCCCAGGGCGGACAGGCGGCCTGGGGCCCTCGGACCGGCAGCTGCTGCTCTTTTACCTGGAGCAGTGCGAGGCCAACCTTACCACCCTGACCAACGCAGTGGACGCCTTCTTCACCGCCGTGGCCACCAATCAGCCACCCAAGATTTTCGTGGCGCACAGCAAGTTCGTCATCCTCAGCGCCCACAAGCTAGTGTTCATCGGGGACACGCTGTCACGCCAGGCCAAGGCAGCCGACGTGCGCAGCCAGGTGACCCACTACAGCAACCTGCTGTGTGACCTCCTGCGTGGCATCGTCGCCACCACCAAGGCCGCGGCTCTGCAGTACCCGTCGCCTGCTGCCGCCCAGGACATGGTGGACAGGGTCAAGGAGCTCGGGCACAGCACCCAGCAGTTTCGCCGGGTCCTGGGCCAGCTGGCCGCCGCCTGAGAGCACAGGACCAGAGGTGTGGGGGTGAGGGGAGGAGGGCTGCCCAGGGCACCCGCCCTGCGAGAGTCGCCGTGCTGCAGGCATGGGGACAGGCACCCCAGCTCTGCCTGGGCCTGGTGCCCCAGACTGTCCAGAGATTTGTACATATTTATGATGCGGCAGGATAGGGCACGGGGCCTCGGAGGAGGAGCCCAAGCAGAGCTGGGCCCCGGGAGCCGAGCCTGAGGAGTGAGCTGGTGGTCTTCCCTGAGTACGCTGGGGACAGGCCAGCCGTACAGGCCCCTGACCCACATGGCCTCAGATGACCCCTTGAGCTCCCTTGAGCTGACCCTCGACCCACAGGGGTGCCCTGTTCCCCTGACAGCGCAAGCACTGCTGTACCAGGAGGAAAAACTCTAAAACACTATTTTTCATTATTGATTTTCCAATCATTTGACTAATAGTCTACATTTAAATAAAAGTTTAAAAATGAAAAGTAGCCTCCAGTGTGAGAGGCAGGAGGGCGGTGGGTGTGGGCAGGTGTGTCCTTGATCTCCAATGCCGCAGGGGAAGAGCAGCCGACTAGGGGATTTGTGGGGAGGCCGTGGGCGGCTCTCAGGAGGGTAAAGAAACAGTGGGTCCCTTCAAGAGAAAGCCAGGGCCCTGGGAAACAGGGCCGGGCGCGGGCCATGAGGCCAGGTGTCTCCTGCAAGGTGGGGGCAGTGTGCCAATGGCCCTGAGACCTGGGGGGCTGGGCTGCTGGAGAGGCTCCCCAGCACCAGCGCCTGAGGCCGGAGGGGCCCCGTGAGTGCAGAGCCCACAGTGAGGTCCCACAGCCTCTGGCCAGAGCGAGGACCGGCGTGGGACCGCAGCGAGGTGGGCTTTACTGCGGCACGGAGCTGGCCGAGGGCACTGCTGGGCGACACACAATTCCCATAACGCGTTTCCACAGACCTTACCCAGAACATTGCTCTTAGAAAGAAGCTCATAATTTCAGCTTGTGGAACTTCTTCCAAAGTGTCTTATTTGAAATACACATAGACTTGGCCTCCAAGCTGGAGTGTGGGGGCCCAGAGGGCCCTTGCCCTGGGTCCGTGTGTGTCCTCCCCAGCCCCTCGGGGTATGTCTGGCACCCCAGGTGAGGCTAGAGCCCTGGGATTCCGGAAGTGCCCCTCCTAGCTCTGATTGTTCTGCATGTGAACTTGGGCCTCAGTCTCCCCATCTCTGTGAAGAAAGGGTAGGATCTGTCAGCCCTCTCGACTCTGGACTCCACAGAGGGGACCCCAGCGAAGACAGCCAGCCTCCTGGCACTCAGCTCCCTGGCGAGGACACAAGTGAAGAGGCACGCGGTTGCTCTAGGGTTTTATTTGGGTTTTGTGGAAGTGAGGGGAGGGGGAAGCAGGGGTTCAGTTGGCTTCCAGAACCTTGAGAACCCAGGAAATAAACTTGGTGACGCGGGTGTACACCCCTGGTGAGAATGGGTTGCACCAGTCGCTGCCCCAGGACACGATGCCCACCAGGGTCCAGGCTCCGTCCTTCTGGCAGACCAGGGGGCCGCCCGAGTCGCCCTGCAGGAGGAGAAAGGACCTGGTTCCCAGCCTGACGCGGGGTGCCGCGGCCCCGGGTGCCCTGACCTGCCCGAGCGCAGGCTCCGTGCAGAGAGATGACCAGTGTGGGCACAGCGACTGGGCAGGGCCCTGGGCCACGGGGCAGCCCCGGCTGTGTCGCCTACTCCTGGTGGGCCTGGGGCACGTGGCTGACACCCCCACCCCCACCGCAGTCGCCCAGAGGGAGGTGGAGCGGACCCCTGCGCCGGGGCAAGGCCGGCGGGGCCGGGGGCGGGGCAAGGCCGGCGGGGGCGGGGCCGGGCCCTACCATGCAGGAGGAGACGCCGCTGGCCCCCGCACAGATCATCACGTCCGTGATCTTGCTGCCCCAGAACTTCTTGCATTCGGCGTTGGACAGGAGGGGCAGGGCCGCCTGCTGCAGCTTGTCGGGGGTCTGGTGGGCTGGAGGGACACAGGAGGCCGGGGGGGGGTGGCGGTCAGGACACCCCCCCCCCGGCCTGCCCACCCCGGGGTGGAGACCGGCGGCGCCTGGAGACCCGGCCCTGTCCTAGTCCTTCCGCATCGCGAGGACCTCAGAAACGGAGCTGCCCACCTTCGCTCAGACCTAACAGCCTCTGCGGGACGCCCTCGTCTCTGATGCCACCCCAGGCAGGGGTGACGGGGCTTCCAGCGCGGTTGTTCAGCCGACAGCCCTGCCCTGGCAGCCCGGGCGGTGGGCGGAGGGCACGTTCACCTCCCGGGAAGGAGACTGTCGTCCTTTTCATGGGGACGCTGCAGGGGACCCGCTGCTCTGGGTGGCAGCTGGGGGAGCACGCTCCTGCTGCTGCCCCTTGCCGGCCGCCGCCTTCTGCTTAAAGGACCAGCAGGCGAGCCGGGGCCGCGGCGGGAGCACCCGCGACTCTGCAGGAGGCTCGTCGGCAGGGGGAGCAGCCGGGGGAGGGGAGACCCAGCCGCACTCTCGGGGCCCCCCCCGCACCGCACCTGGACACTCGGCTCCCCGCCCAGACTTCAGGGCGAGCTTCACACAAGCGCCCCCCTCAAGTCTGCAGAGGAGTCCAGGCTGCAAACAGGGCCGCGTGGACCTCGAGGCAACTTGGTGCGAGTGCCACCTGCTGGTGCTTAGGCGTTTCTTCAGCAACGACGTCTTCAGGTGCATGGTATTTAAGCTCATCTTTATTCATGTGCGGTCCCTTTTCATCAAGAGGGTTTTGGGGGAGGCTGGGTGGCTCAGTCGGTTTAGCATCGCATTTCAGCTCAGGTCATGATCTGGTGGTCCACGGGTTGGAGCCTCGTGTCGAGCTCTGTGCTGACAGCTCAGAGTCTGGAGCCTGTTTCAGATTCTGTATCTCCCTCGCTCTCTGCCCCTCCCCCACTCGCACTCTGTCTCAAAAATAAATAAACATTTAAAAATTTTTTGAAGATGGGGCGCCTGGGTGGCTCAGTCGGTTGAGCGTCCGACTTCGGCTCAGGTCATGATCTCACGGTTTGTGGGTTCGAACCCTGCGTCGGGCTCTGTGCTGACAGCTCAGAGCCTGGAGCCTGCTTCAGATCTGTGTCTCCCTCTCTCTCTGACCTTCCCCTGCTCACGTTCTCTCTCTCTCTCTCTCTCTCTCTCTCTCTCTCTCTCTCTCTCTCTCTCTCTCTCTCTCTCTCTCTCTCTCTCTCTCTCTCTCTCTCTCTCTCTCTCTCTCTCTCAGAAATAAAAACATTAAAAAACTTTAAAGAAAAAAAAATGTTTTTGAAGAAGAAATGGAAAGATACATGACTTGCAGTGTGCGTGCTTGGAATTTAGACCAAAAAAGCAGAATGAGTCTCCCTTCTGAAAAGCCCCTGAAGGACACTCACAGTTATACCGGGTCTTGCCCCAGCCGGTGGTGGCGCAGAGGAAGCCGTCAGGGAAGCTGGTGTTGGCACTGGGCAGGCAGACAGGGGACGCGGTTGATGAGAGGAGGGCAGGTGTGGCCAGCTTCAGCAGGGCGATGTCGTTGCGGCCCGAATGCCGGTCCCACAGCGGGTATTCAAACACCTGTGGAGGCGCGGTGGGGGCTGGGCAGGCCGCACGGAAGGAGGGAAGGACGGGTGGGGCCACGGGCGCGCAGAGGGCTCAGTGCCAGGGGGCGCTTGTTGAGAGAGAACACAGATGGGGCTGCACAGACAAAATCTCTGGAAACTGATGGGAAAATGGCACTTGACACATTGGTGACATTTAGTTTTTCTATTTTTGTGCTTTTCTACAATGAGCCAAACTTCTAATCAGAAACAACCTTCAGTATTTGAAAAGGTGTCTTATTACTTGGCAAAGGCGGCTCTGGGCGGAGAGTAGGCTCTGGTGGGTGAGGCCTGCGCCACCTGGCCGGGGTCCTCTGTGCCCACACACCCTGCCCGCCGCGCTCCTCCCTCATCCCTGGCACCCAGGGGCAGCTCTGCCCTGGCCTTACCAACCCACCCTCCTCCACCAGCCCGCCTGGCGGTACCTCAGCGATCCTCAACACCTGGACGGCCTCCTCATCAGAGCCGTGGTCGGACATCCCGGCCACCACGCGGTGGCTCTTCCTAGAGAGAGAGGAGGTGGCAGAGGGTGCCCAGGTGAGGGAAGCCCTGTCTGGGCCACTCACTCCCATGGTGACCTCTGGGCCTCAGTTTCCCCATCTGTAAGGTGAAGGCACAGGACTAGACCAGCTCTTCCTGGAACAGGCTGGGGCCTGAGGTGGTGGGGGGCATGCGGGTGGGGATTTTCTCCATGACGGGGGTATAGGAGCAGCTCATCCCCAACTGCCGTTTGTCTCAGCGCCTGGCTGCCTGGTGGGGGCCCCGGGTGGGGGGAGGGATAGGAATGGCGGTTGTTCCCTGGCAGCCATGCCTCAGCCCAGGCCTCACCTGACCCTGCAGTGGGCGGCGGTGACCACCCAGTGCTGGCTGATGAGGGAGCCCCCGCAGAAGTGGAAGCCGGCGCGAGTCTGGGGACACAGGTGAGGGACAGTCAGCCTCGCCCCCTCATGCCTGACCCCTCCCCGTCTAACCCACCTCTCCTCAGCTTCTCCCTCACCTGCAGGGACACCTGCCAGGGCCAGGAGCTGGGGATGGCATCCTCTCCGTTGACAATCCGGGACAGGCCACTCAGCTCAGGGTGGACAGCAGGGACCCCACAGCCTGGGTGCATGGTCAGGGCAGCTGGTCAGTGGATGGTGTCCCAAGGGGGCTGGGGATAGAGACCTGGTACTTCCAGGCCTCTGTGGCAACCTAGCGCCCAGAGCTTTGGCCACTGCAGGGCACCTGGCACCTTGTCACCCGGACAGCAGCTGCCCCAGGTGCCCTTGTGGAGGGTCCTTTAGGCTGAGGACGTCTGGAGTTGGGTGGGGCCTAGAGCCAGAGGCTGGCTGTCCACTGTGTGTCCTGGGAGGAGCATCCCTCCCCCGCTGAACCCAGGGTCCTGGGTCATGGGGGCTGGGATGTCCTGCTGGAGTCGCTGTTGCTCTCATGGCCCCTGAGTCTGCAGCCAGGGCAGGTTGGGGTCCCAGTGTTACCCTGCTCGGAGCAGGACGGACCCGGGAGGCTGCCCACTTCCAGAGGACCGGGGGACAGGGCCAAGGAGATGGGCGTGGGAGGCATTCTCGAGTGTGGAGGAGCCCAGACCACTCCCGGCTTTTGAGCGGATGGATGAGGCTGAAACGAGGCAGGTCCAGCATGTCATGTCCAGGTGAGTTTGAGGGGCCCAACGGACCTCCAGGGGGAAGGAGAAGTGGGGAGCCAAGGAGAGCCGCCCAGAGAGGCTGAGAGGAGTGGGCAGGGCGCTGGCCCCAGCGGGCCATTAGAGGTGCGAGGACTTAGCCCTCCAGCTCCCAGCTTCTGGGTGCGGGGCCAGGGGTGGGAGAGGCTTGATCTGGGGCTGCCGGGCCCACCAGAACCTTGCACTCACCAGAACTGCTGCCAAAGAGGAGGAAGCCAAGGACAACCCAGGGAAGGGCCATGGTGTTCTGCTCTGGAGGTGGGATGGGGTCTGCCCGAAGGACCCCCATTATATTCCCCTGGCCCACCAATTGCAACCTGCCTCGCCGTCCCTCCCTTATCGTGAGTCCTTGGGTTCAGAAGCACCTGGCTCCTGCCCAGGCCTGGGAAAGAGTCAGTTCCGGGGGGCTGCTCCTGGGAAGGTTCCCTGGGACCGCAGGTGTGTGGAGTCAGCAGCAGGCTCATCCCCCAGCTGCCCGCTCCCTGTGCACCCCCAGGCCTTCGTGCCTGCTGCCGGGGTGGGAGCCCAGATCCCACGCCATCATCTGTGCCATTTCTGGCCACTCTGGAGAGGAAGATAGGGGGGGCTCTCTGGGGACCCTCTGGCACCTGGCCCAGTGAAGACCCAGGTTCGGGAGAATGAGGACTCAGAGGCCCCAACACAGGAGACACCATCATCAATGTGTCTTTTTTTGGTTTATTGACTCTTTGTGGGAGCGAGGTCATCAGGGAGGTCACAGTGGGGCTGAGGACTCAGTTGGCTTCCAGGATCTTCTGCACCCAGGGCATGAGCTTGGTGACGCGGGCATACACGCCGGGCATGGAGGTGGAGCAGGTGCTGCTGCCCCAGGACACGATGCCCACCAGAGTCCAGGCTCCATCCTTCTGGCAGACCAGGGGGCCGCCAGAGTCACCCTGCAGGGAGAGAGAAGGGGGCTTGGATCTGGCCGCCAGGCGGTCTCAGCCAGGGGCCCCTGGACATTGTTCCAGAGACCATTCCAGGGCCTCACAGCCAGTAGATGCCCAGCACATGCATATTGGAGGGATTATGAAAGGAGCTTCAGCAGCTCCGTCTGTGATCTGTGTGCACCTCTGCATATCTGGGCTGTCAGCTGGGGTCCTATAACAGAGGCCCAATAAAGCTGGTTTGACAGGAAGGAAGCATGGGTGGTGCTGGCCTGGCTCTGGAGCCGTCATGAGGGAGGGAGGGCTGCCTGATTCTTTCCAGAGCCCTCAAGGCCACTATGTTCCGCTGCCCAGGTTCTACACTGCACTAACCCAGGGGATGCCATTTGTTCAGACATTGATGATGTTGATGGAATTTTGCAATATGGCAGTTTCAAGACCAGAGCCCCTTCCTCGCATCCCTCTGTTGAAGTCATCAGTTTTTACAACCGCTGAGGCAGGAATTCCAGGAAGAGTGTGTCAAGCCCTCAAAAGAGGCCCTATGTGTTATTTCCATCTTCTCTCTTGCAAGTCCCTTGGCCTGGGCTTCTGCCTGAACCCACTGCACGCTGGGAGGGAAGGGGGTGCGAGGTGAGTCCAGTAGGCCGTACCATGCAGGAGGAAACGCCGCTGGCCCCAGCGCAGACCATGAGGTCAGTGATCTTGCTGCCCCAGAACTTTTTGCAGTCGGTGTTGGACAGGAGGGGCAGGGCCGCCTGCTGCAGTCTGTCGGGGGTTTGTGCATCTGGAAGGACAGGGTGGGTAGTCAGCAACGGCAGGTGCCATGACCTCCCACCCGCCCAGCCGGAGGTCACTCACTGGTATGTTTGGTCAGGCCCCAGCCCGTGGTGGCGCACAGGGTCCCTGGAAGAAAGCTGTCGCTCTCACTGGGCAGGCACACAGCAGACACAGTCCGGGAGAAGCGGGCAGGCGTGGCCAGCTTCAGCAGGGTGATGTCATTGTTTATGGTGAACATGTTGAACTTGGGGTTCTTGAAAACCTGTGGGGGAGGGCAGAGGCTGACGCAGGGCTGAACCAGGGCACCAGGCTCCCCAAGTCACCTCAGTTCTGCTCTCTGGCCTATGGCCTGTTCGACTTGGCAGCCCCTTCTGTGGCCCCAGGAGCCCAGGACCCAGGTGCAGACCTTGAATGCCCTGCTTTCTGCTCTGCCTCATCACCGTGGAGCACTGGGGTGGTCGGGAGCAGCTGGGGGTTTTCAGACATCAGCCTGGGGCTGCACACACAACCTTGAGGGCCTGCCCCACCTGGGGTCACACACCAGGCCTCCGGGGGCCACCATACCTTGGCAATCTTCAGCACCTGGATGTCCTCAGCATCTGAGCCCTGGTCAAACTCCCCGGCCACAACCTGGTGGGTGGTTCTGGAGAGGGCCAGAGAGAGGAGAGGGTTCCTGCTGTGAAGTGGTGAGGCCATGCAGGGGTGCGGGGTGCACACGTGTGTGCGTGTACCTTTGTGCATGTGCTCAAAGTTGTTGATCACAGAGATGGAAGCTCAAAATAGCAATAAATGCCTCCCAAAACAGACTGCCATACAGCCTGCTGTGTGTTTCCTTCCCAGAAACTCTTGGGAGACCAGCAGGACTTGGGTTTTCTACACATTCCAAATAAGGAAACTGAGGAACGAGGAGTTAAAGGTCTAGCCCTCACTGCTGAGAGTCTTCCTCCCACCAAGGGGTTTCCTGGGGACCCTGGGCCCTTACCTGACACCACAGTGGGCGGCAGTGACCACCCAGTTCTCGCTGATGAGGGAGCCCCCGCAGAAGTGGAAGCCAGTGCTGTCCTGGAGGAAGATGGAGAGGTCAGTGCTGGCTGGACACCAGCAGCCCCCGGCCTGGCCCCAGCCAGGCCAATACCCTGGTGTGGCCCCCACTCTTGCGCAGAAATCCCCCCTCACCTGCAGGGACACCTGCCAGGGCCAGGAGCCTGGCACAGCGTCCTCCCCATTGACGATCCTGGACAGGCCACTCAGGACAGGATGGATGGCAGGGACCCCGCAGCCTGGGGTGGGGGGGGAGTATGAAGTGAGGCATGGAGGCCAAGGGCCTCCCAGGAACCCCCCAGGGACAACTCAATCTGACTGTGCTTCAGCCGAGACAAGCCCAGCAGGTTGGCCGCGAGGTGGTAGCAGGACTCAAGCATGGGCCAGAGGCTGGGCTCTGTGGGTTTGAATCCAGCCGCATCACTGCCTCGCTTTACCATTCAGAAAAGAGGGGATCATACAGCTGCTAATCTCACAGAGTTAGGATAAGGATGCAAGAAGCATGAGCAGGCAAGGGGGAACTTGCTGTGTTCCCGGCACATAGTAAGCGCTCAATGAACACAAGTTTTAAAGTGCTGGACTCAAGGGGCCCAGAGCGCCCACACCTGCCTGCTTACCATCTGAGTCTGCTGGGAGCCACTAGCTGTTCAGAGTTTGCACTCCCTCCAGACCTCTCCCTTGCACAGGGTGTGAGGCCTCAGTCAGCCCCAGGAAGGCCCGCCTCATCCTGGGGGCCTCACCAGCTGGTCTGGTCCAATCCTCCCAGCACCCCCATTGTGGCGATGGGGCTGGTGAGGCTCAGAGCGGGAGAGAGACCCACTCAGGTTCACACCACTCTGCTCGGCTGAACTGGGAGCAGGGACCCAGCTGCCCCTTCTGGCCTCAGGGGCAGGAGGGGAGCGGAAACATCTCTCCTGGCCTCTGCCTGCTCTAAACTCACCAAAGGCTGTGCCCAGGAGGGCGCAGCAGGAGAGGAGCCAGAGGAAGGCCATGGTGCTGTGGTCAAGGAGATGCAGGGTATCTGCCTGGGGAGCTCCCCATTATATCCCTGTGCACCAGGCTGTTATCGGAAAACCTTAAGGTGATAATCCTTTCCTGGGCGTGTGCCCGAGTAGGCAGGATGTGCCAGAGCAGGCCTGGCATCAGGGCCTGGGATGGCAGCAGCTGCGGCCCATGGTTGAGCTTGGGTCTGAGTCAAGGGCAAAGGTGGAACCAAACAAGGTGCCCCTCGACCCACAGCCACGGGGAAGGACTCAGGAAACTTGGGCTTCCTCTTCCAGGCCCTGTTTCAGGAGGGGACTTCCAGGCAGCAGCCAGGCCTGAGCAGGGTCTGAGCCCCAGCCTTTTGTCTCCCCTGGAGAAACTTGGACCAGGGATTTAGTTCGTCTGTTAGTTATTCAGAACCCCTGGGCAGGGGCTCCTGGATGCCTCAGCCAGCTGAGCATCTGAGTCTTGATTTTGGCTCAGGTCACAATCCCAGGGTCTTGCGTTCAAGCCCTGCCTAGGGGCGCTGCACTGAGCACAGAGCTTGCTTAAGATTCTCTCTCTCCCTTCCCTCTGCCTCCTCCCTCCCCTTCTCTAAAAACAAAAGAAAACAAAAAACTGGGCTGTGTGATCAAGTAGGGAGGAGGTGTGGGGACCAAGGTGCGGCTGGCCAGGGGGCTGAGGATGTTACCCTGCTCTTGGGGGTGGCCAAGAAGTCTCAGTGAAAGTTCTGATCCTTAGCTGGGGCGGTCACAGGCCCGTGTGCAGTGTGGCTCAGGACAAGCCGCCCACAGCCTGTTCATGGGAGGCCGGGGCTTTTCCCTGTGGTGCCATGGGCTCCTGGAATTGAGCACGTGGCATCCTGGGGCAAGACTGGGCCCCATGAGAGCTGGTGGAGGCCGGATCCGGCAGGAAACAGGGCTGCGGGGAGGCAGGCAGGGAGGCCCGGTTCCGGCTTGGGTGACAGGGTGGGCGGTGGGCCCCTTTCTCAGCACTTGGGAAGCTGGAAATGGAGAAACATGAAGGTGAGGCTGCCAGGCACAAGCAAGCCCCGCAAAACACGCAAGGAAAATGATATCTGACGGCGATTTTTAATTTCCATCGCACTGATGAGAGCAGTGTGCTCCCCGGCACACATTCCAGCACCAAACAGCTGTGGAGACTCGGGCAGCTTACCTGCCCTCTCTGGTTTTGTTTCTAAGTATATAAAATGGGGGCTGCTTATAGTATGGACCCCACAGTATGAAAGGGCACGACCATCCTGAGCTAGGACCTAACACAAAGTCATCCATGCTAGCTGGTCCTCTGAACACCTTCCTGAATTGCCTGTTGGCACCTTTCTTGCGTTCTAGAAGACTGTCCCATGACAGCGAGGGATGGCCACACTGTATCGGGGGCAAAAGCAAGGCACAGAACAGGTTGCAGAGGGCGGCGCGGCCCCCTCTGTGAGACCATGCTACCTGTGCAAACCCGTCCATCCTTACAACCCAAGCTTACCAGGCCCAGACCCATAGTCCACTGGAACAGAAGAAAAGACACAAATTTCTCCTGCTTTAGCAAGCTTCCATGGGGAGGTGTTGGAGATTTTTAAGTAAAAAAAAAAAAGTAAAATGTGCATGCCTACCAGCTAAGGAGTTGTACTTTAAAATATATTTTTTAAATGTTTATTTATTATGGAGAGAGTGAGAGTGCAAGTGGGGGAGGTGCAGAGAGAGAGGGAGACATTGAATTTGAAGCAGGCTCAGTACTGTCAGCGCAAAGCCCCACCAACCATTGAAATCAAGACCTGCGCTGAAGTCAGATACTTAACAGACTGAGCCACTCAGGTGCCCCATACCCTCATCATTTTTTAAAGATTTTTTAAAAATGTTTATTTATTTATTTTTTTAAAAATGTTTTATTTATTTCTAGGAGAGAGAGAGAGAGACAGCGTGAGCAGGGGAGGGTCATAGAGAGAGGGAGGTACAGACTCTGAAATAGGCTCCAGGCTCTGAGCTGGCAGTCAGCACAGAGCCCGACGCGGGTCTCGAACCCACGAACCGTGAGATCATGACCTAAGCGAAAGTCGGACGCTTAACTGACTAAGCCACCCAGGCGCCCCAAAAAATGTTTATTTATTTTAAAGAGAGAGAAAGTGAGTGGGAAGAGGGGCGGGGGTGGGGACAGGGGATCCGAACCGGATCTGTCAGTACAGAACCCCATCTGGGCTCGGGGCTCGATCTCACAAACCGGGAGAGCATGACCTGAGCCTAAGTCGGATACTTAACGGACTGAGCCACCCAGGCACCCCTCTTACCATTACTAACACCCAGGCAGGAGGGCCTCACCCAGACCCGGACATTTAAGTCCCGGGAGGCTGTATCCAGGCCCGAGGTAATAGCAAGAGCAAAGTGTGCCTAAATGTCGCAGGTGGTCGCCCGGAGGAGGCCAAACGGCACTGATAAGCCCACAAAGCAGGAGGCCAAACGGCACTGATAAGCCCACAAAGCAGGAGGCCAGGACGGAGAGGCCAAGGGGGGCGACCGAGGAAGGCCCCGGTGGCGGCGCTGCCGGGAGCGGCTGGCCCTGATGCTGCGGCCCCCGGGTGCGTCGTTCCACCTGTGGAGCGGCCGCGGCAGACCCCTCAGGCGCGGTGGCTGCGACCTTGGGGCTAGCTGGACCCGAGAGGGGGAGGGGTAGCGTGGCGAGGCGGGGCAAGGGCGGCCCGTGCCCGCAGGTGGCTGAGGCCTTGGGAACAGACGGCCGCCGGCGCCCCGCCCCCCGCGCGCCTCGCGCACCGGCAGGGGAGGTCTGGGAAAGCGCGCAGCTGCAGGCGGAGGCGGGGAGGGCGAGCCCGCACCTGCGCCCGCTCCTGCCAGGGGCGGGGCCAGAAGCTCACTGGGGCGGGGCCCGCGGCCCTCCACCCCGCCCCGCCGCGACCCCCGACCCAGCGGAGGGACCCTTTGGCCAGCGCCCTTCCCTTCCTTCAGGACGCCACCGCTCCTCCGCGCCTGCGCCCAGAGCGCCTCCACGCGGGCGCCGCTCGGCCTCGGCGACGGCCGGCCCCTGCCCGGCAGCCAGTCGCCAGGGTCCCGGGACGAGCCGACGGATCTCTGCGCCCAGAGGTTATTCAGCCAGTCAAGTTTACAGGAACGAGTATTCTCCTGGCTTCCAGTTTTCGTTACTATTTCTAACTTCCCAGACTCGGGTTTGGAACCCTGCTTCCTAAGCTCCTGGAGCGCACCCGTCTCTACTCGCGCACACTCCCAGGGAGAGAGGGTACGGCTTTGTTTGCGGGTTGCCTGCCTTCTGAGAAGATTGTTAAGTCTGCGCTTGTTACCTCGTTGCAAGTATGTCGCATCTACTGTGGTTCACGGGCAGTGCCGAAGCAAGCCCAGGAAAAGGTGTAACTCGATGAAACGTGTTCGGGAGATGACCCGATCCGTGTGCGCACTGGGAACAGACAGCGTGGGGACAGCCCTTTCCCGGGCAGCCTGTGTTTGGGGAAGAGCTTTGCTGGGGGCCCGGAGCCAATCCCTGCCCAGCTGCCTCCTGGGATTTGGCCTCGGGTGGGGATTGTGCCACGGATCCCAGACCTGCCCCGCGGTGTGGACCGGGCCGGAGGAGGGGCGGGGTGAGCACTGCACAAGGGCCTCCCGTGACTGCCAACTCTTAACAGTACGGCCTTGCTTGAGGCCAGAACTCAGATAACTCAGATGTCAGTGTCCCTAGGTGAACGGGCCCCCTCTTGAAGTCCTGCCTCTTAAGGAGTCAAATCCGAACTCTCCTTTTTTTTTTTTTTTTTAATTTAAATAAGATACATTGAGGGTGCCTGGGTGGCTCAGTTGGTTAAGCGGCCCACTTCGGCTCAAGTCATGATCTCACAGTTTGTGGGTTCGAGCCCCACATCAGACTGTGTGCTGACAGCTCAGAGCCTGGATCCTGCTTCCCCCCTCTCCCACTCCTGCTTTGTTTCTCTCTCTCAAGATTAAATAAATATTTTTAAAAAATAAGATACATTGAAGTACAATTTGCATATGATGAAATGCACAGATCTTAAGTGAACAGCAGTATGAATTTATATATATACATACATACATGCACACACACACCATAGTGTAACAAACACCACAACCAAGATATAAAATAATGCCGTCACCCCAGAAAAGTTCCCTCATGCCTCTTTCCAGCTGCCCCTCCTCTGAGACAATCAGCAGCCACTGTTCCTATTTCTTTCACCATAGATTAGTTTTACCTGTTCTAGAAAGTTCTAGAAATGGAAACTCCTCTATGTTGTCTTTGCATCTGGATTCTTTCACTCAGGCAAATGGTTTTATGATTCACTTGTGTTCTTGCCTCTATCGGTAGTTTGTTCCCTTTGTTACGGAGTGTATTTCACTTCAGAAGCACAGCACAACAGATGTACCATTCTCCCACAGGGAAGTTTGGGCTGCTGCTTCTTCCCCACCCCAGCCCTCTTTTATGTTCCTTGTACTGAGGTGACTCTCAGCCCTACACACAGGCATGCAAAAAATGTAAGTTTTTAAGTGTTTCTATTAGAGAACATCGTTTCTGTTAAAAAAAATTTAACATTTGCTTATTTTTGAGAGAGAGAGACAGAGTGTGGGTAGGGGAGGGGCAAAGAGAGAGGGGGACACAGAGCCTGAGGCGGAGCTCGAACCCACAAACTGCAACATCAGGACCCAAGCCGAAGTCAGAAGCTTAACCAACTGAGCCACCAATTCACCCCCATTTCTATTTTTTTAATGTTTATTTGTTTTTGAGAAAGTGTGATCAGGGGAAGGGCAGAGTGAGAAGAAGACAGAGGCTCCAAAGTGGCCCTCTGTACTGTCAGCACAGACCCCGATGCGGGGCTCAAACCCACCAACCATGAGATCATGCCCTGAGCTGAAGTCAGATCCTTAACCGCCTGAGCCACCCAGGTGCCCCACATCCTTTCTATGGTGATCATTTATTTTGTCAGGAGCCTGAAACCAAATCTCAGCCCCTGGAGGGTAACTACCATCATCCTTGGCTGGCAGTGAACCCGGATGTACAGAGGGGAGCTAGTTGTCCTCAGGTGCCCACACTTCCTCCCAGTCTTCACAGGCGGCCCTCTCTGCTCTCGGACTCCACAGCAAGATGGGACTGGAGGCGCATCTCGAAGGTTGGTCAGAAGCAGTAAGACGAAGACCCTCCCTTAAACTCCCTTGTTTTCCTATAATTTTGACCCCTCAGCCATGGCAGAGTAGGGAACAGGAGACGGCTGCGGGCAGGATCTGAAGCCTGATGTCAGGGACGCACACGGAAAACTTTCTCCTTTAACTCAGTGAAACTTAAGTTAATTCTTGAAGGTGGGGGGAACTATCAAATATTTCACACTGCCCAGGCACGTGCTGGCATTGTGTTCAGCTGTGAAGTATAGATGCCTAAAAAACTGTAGCTTAAGCGAGGTAGACATTTATTTTCTCATTTAACAAGAATTCTCAAGGGAGAAGGTCCGAGGCTGATGTAGCACCTCAAAGCCTGTGGCACCTTCCTCGTGGCTCCAAGATGGCTGCTGACCCTCCAAGCATCACAACTGCATTCAGACAGAAAAAGAAGGGGGAGAGAAAAGGGCAAAAAACAATACCGACAGAATCTGTTCCATTTTATTTTATGTATTATTATTTTTTTAAGTTTTATTTATTTATTTTTTAATGTTTATTCATTTTTGAGAGACAGAGACAGAGCGTGAGCGGGACAGGGGCAGAGAGAGAGGCAGACACAGAATCTGAAGCAGGCTCCAGGCTCAGAGCTACTAGCACAGAGCCCGATGCAGGGCTCAAACTCACAAACAGTGAGATCATGACCTGAGCTGAAGTTGGATGCCCAACAGACTGAGCCACCCAGGTGCCCCGAATCTGTTCCATTTTATTTTTATTTATGTATTTTTAAATTTTTTAAATGTTTAATTTTTTAAAAAATTTATTTCTGAGAGAGACAGAATGAGCAGGGAAGGGTCAGAGAGAGAGGGAGACACAGAATCTGAAGCAGGCTCCAGGCTCTGAGCTGTCAGCACAGAGCCTGACGCAGGGCTTGAACCCATGCACCGTGAGATCATGACCTGAGCCGAAGCCAGACGCTCAACCGACTGAGCCACCCATGCACCACCAAATCTGTTCCATTTTGAAAACTCTTCCCAGTAGCCCCATCCAGTGACATCTCCTATACATGTCATTAGCAGAGCTGTGTCTCCAGGCCAACTCTAGCTGCATGGGGGTCAGGAAAGGATGCATTTCAGCTGAGTCTTCTCTACCTCAAACAAAATCTGAAAGAATGGAGGACTACCATCACTGGCTGCCACACCAGGGAAAGTACCTCCTCTGAGATCAGAAAAATGGTAACTGATTCTTCCATCTTTTTTTTTTCCGTAATGTTTATTTATTTAGTTTTGAGAGACATAGAGTGTGATCCAGGGAGGAGCAGAGAGAGAGCACAGAGCCTGATGGGCTCGAACTCACAAACTGAGATCATGACCTGAGCAGAAGTCGGACACTTAACTGAGCCACCCAGGCACCCCTTTTCTTTTCTTTTTTTTTAATGGCACATATCTTATGCTTTGACTCCTTGAGGATTCAGGCACTTGAAATGGAACAGCCTGGCATCCCACAATTCAAAAGTTGTGACTTTTTGTGCAAATCAAGATTCTCAGTAACCAGCACAACAAAACTCTGTGGACTTAAGGGGAGAATGAGTTTCTTAAGAGGCTCATAGTGTTGTCAGGATGGTAAAGCTGGAAAGCCAGGCGGGGGGCTCAGCGGCCAGGTGCAAACCCCACCCTGGGCTGAGAACCTGGGAGGCGGACACCCCCCAGACGTAGCCAGGGAGCCTGATGCTGGGGGCCTGCCCGGGATGGCGCCCACTTGCCCACTTTTTTGGCTCACCCAACATGTTTGTCTAATTGAACATAGTTGATTATTTTTTTAAAGTTTACTTACTTATTTTGAGAGAGAGTATGTGAGTATGAGTAGAGGAGGGGCAGAGAGAGAGCAAGAATCCCAAGCAGGCTCTGGGATGTCAGTGCAGAGCCCAACACAGGGCTCGAACCCAGGAACCATGAGATCACGACCTGAGCCGAATTCAAGAGTCAGGCTTAACCGACTGAGCCACCCAGGTGCCCCATCCTATTCATCTCTGAGACAAATTGTTTTGACCTTTTAATTTTTTTTTTTAAAATTAGAATTGTTTTATGATTGATGTCCACTTTAAGGTGCTGGCAAGGTGGCCGCGGTCCCGTACGAACCTGGCTGTTATTCCTAATGGCATCTCTGGGCAGGGTCAGCCTGTCTTGGGCCTCAAACCACAGCCCACCTGAGGACTGTCTGAGGAGGAGGAGCCTGGCCAATGTCTGAAGCATCCTGGCGGCCATCGGGTAAAGGCAAGGGAGCGGCCACACAGGCAGACGCGGGCGGCTTTGGAAACACCTCGCAGGCACCACTGCGTGACTCTCTCCTGGGCGTCGCTGCCCCCCCCATGCCCAGGACGGCCCAGATGAGAGTGGGCAGGGGGCCACGCGAGCAGAGATGACCCGCAGGCAGGTCCTTCTCAGAGGAATCAGCTTCTAAGTGTGACTAAGCCTGAGGAACACCTTCATTTACCTTCCTTACATTTTGTCTTTTCTGTGTGCCCAGAAGTAACATCTGATAAAAAGCCTATGTTTAGTACGTAAAAAGGCCTCTTCCAATAAAGCAAAACTAAAAATCCTAAGTGACGAGCAAGCATTATTTCGTGGCTTAATTCGCAGCATTTCCTCCTTCCTAGTGGTACATTAAAAAGGCATGTCCAAAAAAATAAAAATTAAAAAAAAATAAAAAGGCATGTCCAGGGGCGCCTGGGTGACTCAGTCCGTTTAGCATCCTACTTCGGCTCAGGTCATGATCTCAGAGCCTGGAGCCTGACTTCGGATTCTGCGACTCCCTCTCTCTCTGACCCTCCCCTGCTCACGCTCTCTCTCTCAAAAAATAAAATAAAACATTAAAAAAAAAAAAAAAAAAGCATGTCCAGAGGCAGCTGGGTGGCTCAGTCCGTTGAGTGTCTGACTCTTGAGTTTGGCTCAGGTCATGATCCCAGGGACTTGGGATCGAGTCCCACATCGGGCCCCACACTGAGCGTTGAGCCTGCTTAAGAGTCTCTCTTTCTCCCTCTTCCCCCTCCCCTGCTTATGTTCTCTCTCTCTTTCTGTCTTAAAAAAAATCGTGTGCTGCTGATAATACCCGCAGTTTTTGGCTGACTGTAACTATTAGCCCCCCCTAGGAAACAAGCAGCCCACGCAGCAGGGCAGCTCGTGGAAGGCTTCCCGCGAGACCGCGGCTGGCGGTGTGGGCGTGGCTTCCGGAAACCGGAAGGAGCCGCAGAGCTGGGAGCTGACAACAGTGGGGACACGCAGGGCCGGAAGTGCGGGAGCCATTACCGGGACCCCGGAGGCCAACGTGCGTGGGGGAGGCCGCCGACAGCAGCCCGGCCCGTGGGAGTCCGTGCAGACCCCGGGATGCGAACAAGCCGAGGCTCTCGGTTCACAGCGTGCCACGCACAGCGCGGAGCCAGGCGGGGACTCGAAGGCAGGGGGGCGAGGGAAGGTTCTGTAGCGGACGGAGGGCAGGCTTGAGCGGTGCCCTGATCGCAGGCTGTTGGCACGGGGAGGCTGGGGGTGGCCGCCTGGAAGCGGGCATCCCACGTGCACGGTTAGGGGTGCACACTGGCTTCTCTGGCTGGTTTTAAGTCGGAAGTCGAGGCAAAGGTTAGGGAAACCGTCTGGTATCCATGGAGTCCTGGCCCTTTGGGGACCGTTGTTCCTGGCTCGCTGGGCTGGCTGCTGCAGAGGCAGGTCGGGGTTGTGTTCTTCCGCCTGCCGCACGGTCTGGCTCGTGTCCGTTTGTGTGTTCAGTCTCCTACCTTCCATATGGAGTTTAAGGGTGAAAGGTGTGGACACAGGGAAATGTAAAGGATCTAGTCTTGTAGGGGTGGTGAGGATTGATGGGACAGGTTCTGAGGACAGCTGGCGTTCTCTCAGAAGGTGACAGCCCCAGGATGTCACAGAGAGCTTTTATGCAGAGGGAGATTGGCTCCCTCAGACAGGGACGGAGCACCTGTGCTGGCAAGGGGGCGTGGTCAAGGAGATTTGGGGGTTCCGAGGCTCAGCCCAAAGCACCCCATCTCACGTTTTCGGGGGCCTCACCCCTTCCCCACCAGTTCCTTTCCTGGTGGGGTTGAGTATGTGTCAGGTTCTGTACCTCCCCAAGCTCCAAGTCAGGCTCCAGGCTCCTCCTCAGCCGCACGGTATAAACCACCTACAGTATAACTCGCCCATTTATACAAATGGGTATATAAAAGTGGACAAATCAGTGGTTTTTGGTATATTACATTAATTTTTGAAATTTGTGGTAAAACATAACATAAAATTTGCCATCTTAACCATTAAAAACATTTTTTTAATATTTATTTATTTTGAGACAGAGAGTGTGCGCGCGAGAGAGCAGGGGAGGAGCAGAGAGCCGGGGAGGAGCAGAGAGCCGGGGTGGGGGGGAGGGGCAGAATCCCAAGCAGGCTCCACGCTGTCAGTGCAGAGCCTGCCGTGGGGCTCGATCTCACCAACCATGAGATCATGACCGGAGGTGAAATCAAGAGTTGGATGCTTAACTTAATGAGCCACCTAGGTGCCCTGCTGGTTTAACCATTTTTAAGAGAACAATTCAGTAGCGTTAATTACATTCACAACGTTGCCCAACCAGGCCTACTATTTCCAAAACCTTTTCATCACTTCAACCAGAAACTCTGTGGCCACTGAGCAGTACCTCCAATTTTCCTCCCCAGCAGCCCTTGTAGCCTCTACTTTAATTTCTGTGTCTATGAATTTGCCTGTTATGGATGTTTCATGGAAATGGACTTGTACAATAGGTAGTTTAATGTGACTCTGGCTTTGAGCATAGTTTTCAAGGTTGATCCATGTTGTAGGATGTATCAGTACCCATGACTTTTCAGGGCCAAATAATATTCCATTGTGTGGATGCTTCACATATTGTCTATTTATTCATCCACTGATGGACATTTGGGTTGTTTCCACTTCTTGGCCTGTGTGAATTGTGCTGCTGTGATCCCTGGTGCACAAAATATCTGTTCTACCATTCCATTTTGGGGCTTATGTACTTAGGAGTGGAATTGCTGCGTCATACAGTGATTCTATTTTTAGCTTTCTGAGGAAACTTCATACTGTTTTCCACAGAGACTATGCTGTTTTACATTCCCTCCAGCAATGTATGAGGATTCCAATTTCTTCACAGCCTTGCCAAAATTTGTGATTGCCTATTTTAAAAATTATGGCCATGGGGCACCTGGGTGCCTCAGTAGCTGGGTATCTGACTCTTGATTTCAGCTCAGGTCATGATCTCCCAGTTTCTGGGATCGAGCTCCACATCAGCCTCTGCTCTGACAGCGTGGAGCCTGCTTGGGATTCTTTCTCTCCCTCTCTCTCTGTATTCCCCTCTCAAAATAAATAAATAAACATTTAAAATTTTTTTTAAGCTTTTAATTAAAAAATTATAGCTATCATGGTAGGTATGAAGCGGTATCTCATTTTGTGAGTGTGTGTGTATATGTGTGTTTTAAAGTTTATTTATTTATTTTGAGAGAGAGAGCACAAGCGGGAAATGGGCAGAGAGAGAGGGAGAGAGAGAATCTCAAGCAGGCTCTGCGCTGTCAGCACAGAGCCCTATGTGAGGCTTGAACCCACAACTGAGAGATCATGACCTGAGCCAAAACCAAGAGTCACTGCTTAACAAACAGCCATTCAGGTGCTCCCTGTGTGTGTTTTCAAAAATTTTTCAAATTGTGGTAAAATACGTATCACACAAAATTTACCATCTTAACCACATTCAAGTGTACAGCTCAGTGGTATTAGGAGCGTCCACGTTTTGTGCAGCCGTCATCACCACCGTGTCCAGAACTCTTCATCTTGCTAAACTGAAACTCCGTACCCATTAAACTGTCACTGTTGGCTGTGTTCCCTGCCGGCCCCAGGCAGCCCCCAGTATACTTCCTGTGTAATCATCTCCTATAAACAGGATCATATGGTATTTGCCTTTTTGCGGCTGGCTTATTTCACTTATTTCACCCATGTGGATGAATCTGGGTCGGAATCTCCTTCCTTTTTCAGGCTGCATAATACTCCATCCCACGTGTAGACCATGATTCATTTCTCTGTTTATCTGTTGAGAGGCAGGTGGGTTGCTTCCGTGTCTGAGACTGTAAATGGCGTTGCTACAGATGTGGGTGTACAAATTTGTCTGTGGGAACCTGTTTTTCAGTTCTTCTGGGTTTACACGCAGATGTGGAATCGTGAGATCATAGGCTAAATCTATCTTCAGTGTTTTGAGGAACTTCCTGGTGTGCAAGGGATCTCATTTCTTCACATCCTAATTCTTGTTATTTTCTGTTTTCTGGTTTTACTTCTGTTTGCCACCCTTCTGGGTATGAACTATATCTCACTGTGGTTTCGACTTGCATTTCCCTGATGACTGATCACCTTCTCACGTGCTCTTGGACCACTGGTCCGACTCCCCACTATTTATGATCACCACTGGCCCTGCGGGAGCTCGGGGCTGCAGCCACCTGCCCTCCGCCGCCTTGTGCCCACCTGCTCCAGCCTCTGCCACACCCAGTGTCGATTTGAGGATCACGATGCCACCACATGCCGTGGGCCACCGGGGCCTCAACTTCCTGAAGGAGAGGTCCTCCAGGGACTTCTCCAGTATGTGGGCGGCCCCTTCCCAGAATCCTGTGTTCAGTGGTCCTGGGGACACAGCCTGTGTATCAGGGTGAAAACAGGTGGCACACTCAAATCCGGGTTGATTGAGGTGAGTTTAAATAAAGGGAATTTTACAAAGGTGTGGGCAGGGCTTAGGGAAAATGAACAAGGCGAGTGAGAAGCATCGCCTGGGTGGCTCAGTTGGTTGAACATCTGACTTCATCTCAGGTCATGATTCAGGAGTTCAAGCCCCCGCGTCCGCACTGACAGCACAGAACCCATTTTGGTTCCTCTGTCCCCCTTTCTCTCTGCCCCATTCCTGCTCACACCCCCTTCTCAAAAATGAATAGACATTAGATGGGGCGCCTGGGTGGCTTAGTTGGTTAAGCATCCGACTTTCACTTAGGTCATGATCTCACTGTTCGTGGGTTCGAGCCCTGCGTCGGGCTCTGTGCTGACTGCCAGCTCAGAGCCTGGAGCCTGTTTCAGTCTGTGACTCCCTCTCTCTCTGACCCTCCCCTGCTCACGCTGTCTCTCTCTCTCTCCTAGAAATAAATAAAAAAAAAAAACATTAAAAAAAATGAATAGACATTAGAAAAAAAAAAGATTTTAACTGCCAGTTTTCCTCCTCTGCTGTCCTGGACAAACCCCCCTTAAAAAAAAAAAAAAAAAGACAAGTGAGGTGCATAGGGCCCTGGCAACGATAGGGACATCCCTAGAGCTGACGGGACAAGGGGATAGCAGTTCTGGAACCCAGAACGGGGGTGGGAGGGGTTGCTGAGCAGAGAGGGCCTCCTGAAGGGAACTGCAGCCGGTGGAGAGGGGTGCAGCCAACGCACAGAGAATAAATACCAGACCTCTCTCTCTTCCTCCCGTGTCAGGACCCTGCCCCGGTCCCTGAGGGCCA